TTTTACTGTAATTTCAAAAGTTAGCATTTAAATGTCTGTTTAATGTTAATAGTAAATTGAATAAAAGGCGTTTGAGTGAAAATCATTTATGATCTTATTATTGTAGTTTGTGCTGTGCTGTTTATATGATACCAGATTTTTTTTTAGCACATTGTACGTATTGTCATTTTCGAAATGTTCAAGTCCTACTTATTTTCTTTTATTTAATTCGGAATCAACCTAGGTTGATTCTGATTCCACCTACAACATAGGCACTGTAAAGGCTGAAAAAAAGGCGTCGAGTTGCTTTTAAATTTCGCTGAAGATAGTAATTCTGAGGGACAATATAAGTCGGATTACACTACAGAAACGATAATGGAATATCGCCTAATCTAGAAAAGCTATTGAATAGCAGCAAAAAGGAAAAAATGTCCCTATTCAATATGCTTCATATATTTTATTCACTATAATTTAGTCAGTAAGTATAAAGATAATTTATTAATAGTGGAATTAAATCATTAATCATGTTCACAAATACTTATTCTTACCTAATACTCTTCAAAATCATTTATTCGCACTAATTTAATCGGTGATTGTACAAAATATATGAGTGCTGCTAAAGGAAAAAGGCCGTTCAATATATTTTGTGTATAGTCAACCGTCTATGGAAAATTTATCAAATTTTCTGTAGACAGATAACTGTACACAAAATATATTGAAAGTCTGAACGGCCTTTTTCCCTTGGCAGCACTCATATATTATATTTTGTGATGATTACTAAGAGAGCTTGTATGCGGCAAATGCACATTGTTCAAGGATGGATAAGTAAAATAAGGAATTGACGATTGTTCAAAGAATTTCAACTTAGAACTGTTAGATATGAGAATGTTATTGAATGAATTCCATGGTAAGGCAATATACATTGTTATATAATCGCTTGTTAATTTTATGAAAATTTTTTGGTTAATCGCTTATTATTAGATGTGGCATAAGACTATAAAACTATTATGGTAGAGTTGGAAATGCAACTGTTGTAACAAAATGGCTCGGAAGTTTTTATTTTTGTTCAATAAATTGACTGTATATATAAAGAATCTTTAATAAAAAAATTTATGTAAAGTTACATTTATTACTGTCAAATACAAAGCGGCATGATTTTCACCAGTGAATATTTTATTAAAATAAACATTTAAAGTCAGTTATTCCTTCTTGCAAAATTTTTATCTTAACCAATGAATAAATATATATAAAAATATTTCAATTAACATGGATTTCAACCAATCTTTAAGTTGTGGTACGGAAGCTAAACTGTTAAAACCATTTGAGGTTTCGTTAATAACTAATAATGTACAGTACAAACAAAAAAAAAAAAAAAAAAAAAAGAGGAATAATAATAAATATTACCGAATACGAAGGACCCTTAGTACTTCGTAAACTATAATGCGAAAGCAATTGATGGCGAAACATATTCTTGACATGTCAGTGTTAGAAATGGAGAATAAAAGACCAAGTTCAGATGAAGCGTAGTAAAAGATGAAGCTAAAAGACTAAGCCGAGTTGAAAGATTGAAACCCTGAAAAAGATAAAACTAGAGATAGACAAGTTCTGGAAAGACCGAATAAGGATCAGTCTTTTAACCAGTTCTACCAGTCTTCATAGATAGTTAAAAATATCAAATTGCAATTATTAAAAAAAAAAGTATGTTGCGTAACAATTACTGATGTCATATAATTTGAATATCTCCGCTAGCCAATAAATTGTTAGAGTAAGGACCATTTTTTTAGGACCGAGACCAGACCAAAAACATTAATGGACTAGTCTTATCAGGGACCAGACTGGACTGATCCATCCCTAGACGAAACCCTGTGAAAGACGGGTTTAAGTTGATTATTAATTGGTGAATAAATTAAAATCATATTGATGGTAAATGGTATGCAGAAAACCGCTTAACCGTAGTTTAATCAAAAAAGAGAGATTCGGTTAAACATTGACATGAAAACAGTTTTATGACAATCATTAATTACTTAGCTTTAATGCATCCTAATAAGTGTTGTTAATTTTCGTTACCAGTG